AACGGCCTGCTCTCAGTTGGCTTGTTAGCTCAATTGGTTAGAGCGCTGCACTAGTATCGCAGAGGTCAGTGGTTCGAGTCCCGTACAGGCCTGATTTTTTTCAGGTCTGAATTTCGCTATTGCTTAAATAGCGCTATCTACTGCGAGGATCGTGCATCATACGTATCAAATACCGCAGTTCAAAATATATGATTTTCATATATTTATTCTATCTCATTTATCACTTTCACGGGTTCATTACGAATCAACTCAACGGCCTGCTCTCAGTTGGCTTGTTAGCTCAATTGGTTAGAGCGCTGCACTAGTATCGCAGAGGTCAGTGGTTCGAGTCCCGTACAGGCCTGATTTTTTTCAGGTCTGAATTTCGCTATTGCTTAAATAGCGCTATCTACTGCGAGGATCGTGCATCATACGTATCAAATACCGCAGTTCAAAATATATGATTTTCATATATTTATTCTATCTCATTTATCACTTTCACGGGTTCATTACGAATCAACTTAACGGCCTGCTCTCAGTTGGCTTGTTAGCTCAATTGGTTAGAGCGCTGCACTAGTATCGCAGAGGTCAGTGGTTCGAGTCCCGTACAGGCCTGATTTTTTTCAGGTCTGAATTTCGCTATTGCTTAAATAGCGCTATCTACTGCGAGGATCGTGCATCATACGTATCAAATACCGCAGTTCAAAATATATGATTTTCATATATTTATTCTATCTCATTTATCACTTTCACGGGTTCATTACGAATCAACTCAACGGCCTGCTCTCAGTTGGCTTGTTAGCTCAATTGGTTAGAGCGCTGCACTAGTATCGCAGAGGTCAGTGGTTCGAGTCCCGTACAGGCCTGATTTTTTTCAGGTCTGAATTTCGCTATTGCTTAAATAGCGCTATCTACTGCGAGGATCGTGCATCATACGTATCAAATACCGCAGTTCAAAATATATGATTTTCATATATTTATTCTATCTCATTTATCACTTTCACGGGTTCATTACGAATCAACTTAACGGCCTGCTCTCAGTTGGCTTGTTAGCTCAATTGGTTAGAGCGCTGCACTAGTATCGCAGAGGTCAGTGGTTCGAGTCCCGTACAGGCCTGATTTTTTTCAGGTCTGAATTTCGCTATTGCTTAAATAGCGCTATCTACTGCGAGGATCGTGCATCATACGTATCAAATACCGCAGTTCAAAATATATGATTTTCATATATTTATTCTATCTCATTTATCACTTTCACGGGTTCATTACGAATCAACTCAACGGCCTGCTCTCAGTTGGCTTGTTAGCTCAATTGGTTAGAGCGCTGCACTAGTATCGCAGAGGTCAGTGGTTCGAGTCCTGTACAGGCCTGATTTTTTTCAGGTCTGAATTTCGCTATTGCTTAAATAGCGCTATCTACTGCGAGGATCGTGCATCATACGTATTAAAGCTGCATAGCCCAAATCAGTTGTATCATAGTTTTTATTTTGGGAAAAGGAAGAGAGGAGGCCCATTAGATTGAAAGGTTTTTCAGAAATTTGGGGTTATAAATACAGGGAATATTTATTGGATGAAAGAGGGACTTTTTTCAAATTATGATAAGTTTATAAGAGTTTGACAAAATTAATAATCTTAATGACTTCTTATTCTATTATCCTTTTTTTTTTCAACAGTTTTGGTTGGTGGAACACACTCCATATTAGTTAACATAACTAGTAATAATCAACACGCTGACTTCTACTACCTAAGTAGCTCACATTCTAAGCGCATCATCAAGCTTCCAAAAGGAGATCATGGCAATGGAACTTGCTATCATAATGTCATTCAATGGCGAAAGTGCCAAAAACATTATGGTCTGAGATATTTGGGGGAAAAAGCTATAATCATCCAAATTAAGGAGGCAACTAAGTCAATGGAGGACTGGTATGGGTTATATGCTTACTGTCAAGGATCAAACCATAAATGTGATACTGAGCAACCCATGAAGAGTTTCATGTTGAACTTTGAAGGTAAAGTCGGATGTGCTGCTATCTTAGTCAGCCAGGGGTATACATCTAAAGAGCATTGTTGCCTGTATGTATATGTGTTACCTGGTATTAACAAAGCAAGAGGTCATGATGTCTTGAGATCCCTAAAAACTGAAAGAAAAAAAAACAAGGGTAAATATCCAGCCAACTAGATTGAACTAGCTTGGTCAATTATTGCTTTATTGTTTCTATTTTGTATTTTAACTCACCCTACGGCTTGTCAAAATACGGCACAACTCATTAAAATACTCAGCTATACTACCCAACAAAATGTCCAATATAAAATATATTTATTGGAAACTTCAACTTGTATCTAAGGTTTGTGCAAGCTGAGTAACAGGGGCTTTGATTTTGGCCAGAGAAATTAAGGCTGAGTTAAGTGGGCCATTTTCAAAGTATTTAAATTCAAACTAGAATCTGAGGCTTGGGAGAATAAAACAAAAGAAATCACATTGAGGTTGAGGGATCAACAATCAAATTCTTCTGTTTTATTCTCCCTAACCTTGCAACCATGTTGGAATTTTAATTTCTTGAAAACAACCTATTGTGTGATTGAACAACCAATTAAATTGTCATTTGGCCCTAATATAATTATTATAGTGACTAAAAGAAAAAGAGAGTAAGGAATTTACCGGTATGTTATCACAAAATACTTTACATTGCTATAGATGAGGACACTTTTATTTTAATTAGTATAATCATATTGACATCCTACTTGACTTTTTGTGTATATTTACAGAAAGGTGAGCAGCTAACTTTTTTTCATTCTTGCAACCAGTAGTGTTACAAACTTGCTTTTTTCATCCATATTTCAGATAAATTAGAGTCAACAAAGGTGACAACTGTTGAGACAGGCTCAGACCCCACAGAACCCGTTTCTTCAGGTAAGAAGGTGTAACTGATGAGGTATATGCCTAAACGGAATAATACTTAGAATACACAATGTACCTAAGGTCTGCCAAGAAAGCTTATCTTTTGAGGCAAATGTATTTAGTTACTGGTATTATACAGTTTTTCTTACTTTGATTTGTACTTAATTTAAAATGGCAACAAAAGTCACATAATTGTAATGTTAATAACAGTACTAGCTATGATTTCAAATAACTCTTTGCCTTAACTGACTACAGGTTTCACCACAACTAGAATTTTGTAAGGCTTGTGTAACTCTCTCTTTAAATATTGTACCCAGCATGCAGACATACAAACTTCCCATTTTCATGATTGCAGCTGAGCAAAACCCAACACAAGAAACAAAAGTTACAACCAGTACAGGTTCAGGCTCGCAAGGACCAGTTTCTAAAGGTAAAAAGGCATCATTCATGCAAAAGGGAAGAAAAATGATGTATTAAATTTATAGGTAGTCAAAAAGGAGTATAAAGCTAGCTCCATCATGTGGTGTAAAAATTGAAATCAATCCATCTGCAAATCTCTTCACACATTAAGTTTCACTCTACTACTAAGATTTGTCATTCTTGAGTTTAATTTTTTAACTTTTGTTAGTTCAGGCCTGAGTTAAAATAATTGCATTTATGTATGGCACAACTATGTAAAATGGACATGTGGCCCTTTTATGTTACCAAAGAAATACTTTTCATTGCTTTAATTAGGTTGGAGCACTTTTATTTAGTAAAAGTATTTATTGTGTCCTACTTGACTTTTCATATACATTTACTGAAAAGGTGAACAGCTATATTGTAATTTTTTCATTCAGGTAAACAGTAGTGATACAAACTTTCATCTGGAATACGTTTCTTTCATGTGATTCTCTGTTAAAATAGCCTAATAATTAAAATTAACCATGTTGAATACACAATCA